ATGATTTTATTGTCCGACCACTTTTATTTTACACGTCGAATTCAGTGTTCAGAAAGGGAAATGCAACTGTGGACAACGTTTGCAGTTTGACTGTCCACCAAGCTATCTCGAAAACTCCAAAGAATCGAAGTAATTTATTTAATCAAATGAAAATTGAACGCAATAAAGAGAATATTTACTTTAATCAAGTGTTTCGGATTCACATTGTAAAATATATATATTTATGTTTGTAAAATCAATTAAGTATTTCAACTAGTATTTCATTTAATACAGAAATAAATTACTATTTCAAATGAAGCATATGCAACATGATTGGGAGAAATAAGATATTTACAAATATTTGTATTTCTTAGTATTAACATAAAGAATGTTAAATAGTCATAGAATACAGACTGAATCCATTTGCATACGAAGCCATTTTATTTTCAAAACCAAAATAGTTTTTCTAACCTCCAATATTTCCATTTCATATGATTCGTTAACCCTAGAAAGATAACCATATGACAACGTACGTAAAAGATAACCATACGCTTCAGAGGCGCATGCTTTTCTAAGGCGTCAATTTTATACTAACAATGGATATTTATTTAAGTTAATCTAGTCATTTTAAAGGTTTGGCATTATTGTCAAAATAAAATGCATTTATATTATATTTTTTTATATTTTAAGTAATTTTAAACTTAAATCACTAGACCTCTATGAAAAATTAACAAAAATCAACAGTCTTTCGCAGGCGCCTCTGCGACGTAGGTTATCTTTCTCGGGTTAATGCACTTTATGCATATGATAATTGAGTCTTCTGGCTCACAATAGTAACACTTTTAACAGTTTGTTTTTCAAATATAAACAAATTTGTAGCGGTATCTTCGAGTCACCGCTCTAGTGCAAAGGGTTGAAAAGAGTTTTGAAAGAATTGAAAAAGATTAGTTGATAAACTTACGTGATCCATAGGATAGGTCAGAAATGTCTCCAAAGAGCGTCCTCCACAAGCAGTTTTGTTTTCTAATCTAGTGAGCAATGCCGCGAATGACGGCGACGACTGCTTACAATTCGTCAGAACTTGAAGACTGTAATGATGGTTTCTGACAAATTCTTGATAAATTGAGAGCATAGGGAGCAACATATCGAACAAATCGACTGAAATAATAGAAAAAACGTTTGGCTTCAGGCATAATTGTATAAGACCTTATACAATAGAATAATAAATGGTTTAACCTAAGTTATATATAATGATTCCACGTACATAGATCATTAAAATGTTGTACATAATCTAATTATTAATAACTCATGCAAATGAGTTGATGCTGAGCGAATTGATATAATGCCGATCTAAAATGAACGAACGTATAATTGAAGACGATGTTTTTATACCACAGAAGTTCTCCACAGGTGTATAGTAGAAATCAATGGATACAAAATTATATTATATTTCATCAAGTGAAAATGTTTCTAAATAGAATTATGTAGCTGCAAAAGTTGTCAGAAACATATTTTCAATAAATAGGTTTCTCGAACACGTTTTACAAGAAACATAGAAGAAATGTTTTAGTTTGAAACGACGGATTCTCCATATGATTTCAGTCACCATATTTTAGAGATTGTTTTATATTATTATCTGTAATTTATATCGTACATACGTACAGTTACAATAACTTTTTTGAAACTGGACTAAGCGACTTAATTTTCTTTAGCGGAACTGAAGGCATTTTTTAAATTTCTGTTATAAGCTCAGATCCCTCGAACCGAAAGGATGTGCAAATAATGGAGTACTGAAAATAGCGATCGAAGTAAATGGAAAAAAAATAGTTTATCACCGAGAAACTTTGGTAGAGACTAAAACTTCTCGGTAAGAAGAAAAGACGGTTTATGATCTGTTTCGCGACGAGGTAAGTCCTCTTTACGGCTCCGGAATTACAGATTAGAGTAAGTGCCATAAATACCGGACTAACCGACGCAATGTCGTTTCGAAAATTTTAAACATGTTTTTCTTGAAACTCACTTTCCCTGGTTATCCTGCTTTGTCCAAAAGCGCGTTACTGAGAAATTACTATAGTCAGAAATTAGGCTGCCTCAATTTCGATCTCTGGTTGAATTCGAACAATGGTGAAAATCGAAGGAACGTGTCTTTATTTGCCTGCTGCTTCGACAAATTCATTCTTTTATGACGATTTGTCGAATTTCAACGATAGATTTCGGACAAACATCGATTTATTGATTTCGCACGAAAAAAGGATCGGAAAGTGTGGGAAATCACCTAAATATTTACGGCATTGATAAATAAGAGCATATTTAAAACGATTAAACGCAACGGCGTTTAAAATTCGAATTAATTATAGACATTGTCACGATTCCCGAAATTCGTTGTTTCGCGAAATGCAAATTTTATTCGCGAAGAAATTTTAGCAACAGAAGCTTTAACAGTGGACTCGAAATACTTAGAATGAGTGTACGTGATCGACTTAATGTTAACACTAAGCCTACCAAGCAGTAATACTAACTGGCACGTATTGCTTCACAAAAGTGCGAAGACCGAATTTATTTAGAATTTGTAAAGTTTTTATTATGAAACTTGCTCCAATAATATAACTTATTCAAGCGTTCTCTACGAAAGAGTCTCGGAACTTTGCAGAATTGCAGAATAAGAAAGCGGTCACTTTGACCGCGGTATAGGTTTAGTGTTAAATCAATTATAAAAACTAAAATATGAATATGCGGCAGTCATTTTACTGAGAAATGAAAGTAGAGAATTTGGTTTCAGAGTTGCGTTAGAATGAATACGATACATTGTTTTACAGATGACGTACCTAAAACTAGGGTGGGCCAGTTCTCCATACGAGACGTGAGACCTTTTAAAAAGATCTGATGAAGGAACAATACTGTTTCGCTATTTAAAAATATACTATTTACATCCTCGTGACAACAAGGAGGCCTCTTTGAACTCGCTGCCATCTTGAAAGGTCTGAGGAAACAGCTGACCAAAATTTCCATTTGTCTGGTATAGTCCTCTTCAGCCTCCACCATATTGAAAACCAAACTGAAAAGCAGGAAACGTTCTCAACTTGATCGTGCATCCAAATAATCACTAACAAATTCTAAGGATCGTTTAGGCTTCGAAACACACACACATCATTCAGCAATATTAATATTATTTCATTTTTTGGAGCTTCCTTTGAAGATTAACAATAACTTATTAAAATGCAAGTATGTTTCAAAATAAATCAATTTATTATAAAATTTATTATAAAACCATTTAATAATAAAGCCATGGTTATTCCTAGGCTTTATTATTAAATGGTTTTATAATAAATTTTATAATAAATTGATTTATTTTGAAACATACTTGCATTTTAATAAGTTATTGTTAATCTTCAAAGGAAGCTCCAAAAAATGAAATAATAACCTTGACATAACCTTGACATAACCATATACGTATATGAACATTTTGCTAATAAACACTTTTTCCACTATTTTCCCGCTGAATAACTGCATCTTTATCGTTCGACGTTCCGTCCGTTTTTCTGGGTCACGGAGGTCACGGTTAAATGCATGTCTTTATCGAATATATGCTTGAAAATATGAATTAGTACAGACGTTTGTCCTTGATGGAGAAGTAGGAAGAATCGTCGACAACGTTGCTCCGTGACCCAGAAAAACAGACGGAATGTCGAGCGATGAAGATGCAGTTGTTCGGCGGGAAAATAGTGGACAATTTTCTGTCACATAAATAACATTAAAATTATTTTATAGATCCAAAATGCTTGTCAAACTAATTAACCTTCGTGCAAGCTGAAACAACGTGATGTAATTAGCAGAAGCGGTGGCACGCTTCTGAGGCTGTAATGAGTTTGTGCTCGGAGCAGTTGGTACTCTTATAGTCGAAGCAAAACGACAACGAAGTTATTCGAAGCTTTTGTATCCTGTGCGGAAATAACCTGATTATGCGCATACAGGCTGTGCATTCGACATCGACGAGTTTAACATCCTAGCCTCGCCAACGTCGTTTAGTGAACAAGATAAAATAGAAACGTACTAAAATGTCAGGTTATGCCAAGGTAAATCATGTTAAATCATATACTAATTTAATATAACCTGTGTCCAGTAAATTCTTTGAAAAAAGAGTTTAATTGTCCTTCAGCTTGCAAACAAGAACGGACAATTTGGGAAGAAGAGATACGATTATTCGAGCCTTACACCTTGTTTTTATAATTGTTGACAGTCGGCAAATATACAAATGAACCGCGAGGCTCGAATAATCGTATCTCCTCTTCCCAAATTGATCATTTTTATTTACAAGCTGAGATCGATTTTTATGACATTCTTATGGTAGATACACCCAATTCTGTTTTCATATGATTTTCATACGGTTTCCAAAAAAAAATGCTCAACGAGATAGTCCACATGATAAATAGAAGACTGGTTGAGGTGGATATCGAGTATAAACAAATTATTTTCAAGCAATCAACACACACAGCTATGTACATATATAGTTTATATCGTTTATACTGTTTATATCTTTTATTTTTAATAACAGGTGTGCGGTACGCGTCAGCATACGTTCCAAATTGTTTAATTTACGATTATCGAAATTATAAATATTCATCTAATGGTAATTTATCCGATAACGTTGTCTCATTGGATGTACACTACAATTGTTAAAAATTTTAGTAAATAATACTTGTTATTTTTATGAAACAATACACTATAACTGCTGTTAATGCTCCGTAAATCTGATGTCAATATCGTCATTTGTTTAATTTAAAGCAGTAAACGTAGACTTATGTTCTATTTAAATAAAATTAAATTTGCAAACTTTGGTTTGCAAATGTACAGATGAGTTTTTCTTGGTCAGCTATTAAACGACACGATAGTCATTAAAACACCTGTAAGGGCAATTTCGATCATCTTAATCTCGGCTAGACCCTTTAATTAAATTTAATAAAACACGTTTTCAATGGTACGAAACTTTTGCGGTTTTTGGCGCTGTCGTTAAAGTGTCAAGCAAAAGTCAGTCTCACCTGTTACGTTTCCGCATGCTTTCCGCATGAGGACTTTTGATGTATTGCTCAACGATTTGCTTCCAACGTCTTCGACAAAGCCAGCCTCTTAAAAAGCTCTGAACTTTCTTAATTTTTTGCATTTCCAAAGAATCCTCCGTGATAGTCAGCAACCCGATTCCCGGGTCGCCTGACATCTCCCCTCCGCTGTCAAACCATACTGTACCATGTGCACCTGACCGATGGGAATGCACCCGCTGCTTCGGCAATGCAGCATTCAACTGTTAACATAAAGCAAAAACATTCACAATACAGGGTTATCCAAGATAGACTATAACTTCTTAAATTTTTTTTTAATAAGAAAGAAACTGTTTTGAATTCTTTTTTTTATTGGTCCTCTTACTTAATTACGAGATTCAATTCGTTTCACATAATAACAATTTCAAATGATGAGTTATGTCATTGTTTCTTTTTGTTTCAAATATGACGAAATAATCCTCAAAATAATACGCGACAAAAATGATAATGTTAAGTAAGAAAGTTAAAATAAGAGAATTGACAGGCACGCGTATTTATTTACACAAACAGACATTATAACCATTGAACATAGAAATTAATGGAGCAATTATTATTGCGTATTATTACACGTATTATACAACGCTGCGTATCGTTCTGGTCATAGTTTAAACATACAATTAAACATACAAATGACATCTCATCGCGTTTCACAAATTGGACTTTCCATAATCAAATGAATAATATTACACTTTGTGAGTTTGACCATGAGAAAATTAGCATGTTAATTACGTTCGTAACATATTCATGAGTTACATGACTATGGATTTTATAATAAAACAGAATTAATTGTCTGTGAGGTAATTATCAACAATTATTACAGAAAACGTGTATCATAAAATTGGTGAGAAATATGAGAGCGACTATTATCGATGGTAAAAACCGCTATTAAAATTTAAAAAAATTTTAGTTTCAGTTCGAGAACGCCTGTTCGCATAGAATAATGTATCCTACTGTTGACATAGTCATCGATTTAATGCTCTGTTCCAATTTTTCAACATTTCTGGATAAAATACTCTTTCTTATGATACCGTTGATTATTCACTATTCACTATTTCTATTAATATTTAGTTGCATCCGAATTTCATATAATTAGTTATAATAATCATGTTATAGCAGACCGTGGATTTCATCATTTCTGACAAGAAATAATAGATTCCATTTAAAACAGCAGAAAGATCGAAGGAAGTTTAAAATATTGACACAGTACATTAAGCTTGAGATACGAAGAGTATATTAAATGCTAAATAAGTGAAATTGAAAACAGCACGAGAAGGAAATGAACGAATAAAAACAAAATAAATTAAAAATTATTAGAGAAAAAAAAGGAATTTTTAATAACGGCAATAAATTAAAATCAATGTAACAATATCCTTGAATTCTTGTAATGCCTCCACAGTATTGTATTTCACCTTTTCATTTTTCTCATAAATACGTAAAATGCGCGGTCTAGTGATAATGACTGAATAAATATCACAGGAAACAAAGTGAAATTTATAACTTACCTTGGTTCGAAGTTCCTGCACTTCCAGCGCAAGTTCTTCGCATCGTCTCACGCACTGATTCTTGTCGGTTTTCTCGGTTTCGATGATGTGCAACAGGTGCAGGTATTTCTGCTCTATCTGCACCTTATGCAATAGCAATTTGTTGAAGCTGTAATCAATGACCAAGTTTGCGATGAAATACACACACTACGTTGAAAATACAAGGCTGATATCGAGAAATAAAATAATTAACACTGTCCTAACACAATCACAATTATATACATTTTAATGCTCGATAACGAGCCTTTACCGTTTCATTTGTACATTATTTATGCAACTGCTAGTTAAGATTTCATTCGAAATATAATAATTATTATTCCCTTTTTACAAAATCATACGCCTTCCGATAAAAACCAAATAGATTTAAATTCCATTGTTCGAAAACGCATTCGCTTATGAAGTGAATTATACGCATAACACGATAAGTATGAAAGCAATTTAGTATATCGACGGAAACGGAAAGAACGCACAAGATAATACATTTTCCGGCATCGATACGTTTCAGTAGATAAATCTGCGAAAGGCTCATACGGGACCAAGATGCAATCATGCGGCGAGTATCGTTTGAAATCGTTGTAAATATCACGCGACGCGTTCAATCAGTTTAATCGTTGGGTATTGCACGCAATCGTAAAAAAGGAGACACGTATTTCGCCGATGCCGCGAAGCTCGAGCCGTATTTATTCGCCAGAGAACCGTTTCAAATGAAACGAAACACGGATTGTAGCAATCGCGGGAAAGCGTTATTCGTTTGTGGAAAATGATTTATTCATAGATCGAAGATATTCGGAATCACATGATATTCATATTCAGATTTCACCGACAGCCGAATTTAATAAAAAAAATTCCTATTACGATGGGTATTGCCGTGATAAATATGGAATGAACGAGACAATGAACGTCCGTAAACTTTAATCCCTTAAGTGGAAATTACGAGACGCGGCAGCAAACATTGTCCGCGTAAATGTCTAAAGATCGTGTCAAATTCTTCGAAATAAGTTCAAAGGAAAATATGCGCACGTGCGCTCGTAACATGACTTTGAGACACCGTATATATAGTAATGACAGAATATTTCGTGTGTGTGGAGTTATAAATATGCTAATAACTCGTATGTAAATTATTCATGATCCCCACCATATTTCCAGACTAAATAATTCTGGAAGAAATTATATGATTCGAGAAGATTAACGATGCACCATTTGACAAAAAGAAAATTGCAAAAAAAGGGATATGATAAAAATACATTATATTGTACCATTTAATTCGTTTAGTCTTTATTTCTTATCCGTCATCGGAATAAAACTTTGCCCAGGCATCAATAATTCGCCCGGTATAAATAAACATTTCGAGTCCTCCTCCCGAGAACATAGTTTTTCGCTTTTAAACAGCTTCGTCATACAAAGTGAAGTTATCGTGAGCTCCGAAATTGTCCTTTATGCAAGTGCCTTCCGCACGAATAATAGTCGAATTAACCGTGAAACCAGAAAAATGCATGAAACGTTCCCGCAGTGCATCTTCAACCACGCGTCTCTTTAAGGTAGTCGTATGTAAAATTCACAGAAAACACGACGAAAGGATCACGTGCACTCGTGTCCTTTCTCGAGCTGCAGCCTCAACCCTCTGATCTATTTAAAATTTAGAAGTCGTTAAACCTCGAATGTTGGCATTTCGACCGTTTAAATATTCGAGCTGTGAGAACTAATTTACTGTGCTAACATTTAACTTAAACTCTTTTGACTGTACTTTGTAACTGTTATTTTAAATCGAAGATGTGTTCATATAATTGACAGTTTCCAATTGCAGCTTTCAACAGAATTCTATATATTTGAATCAATTCGGAGATCATATATTTTGGTAATTCACGGTGAAATATCTTTACTTAAATCCAAAAATATCATTTCAATTTGATTTTATTTTAAAAATCCTCTCAATTTTATTTTCAAATAGACTTGAAATTTACGTAAGAAGAGTGAATTTTTCATACGTTGTTAAATTCAGCAAACAGTTAACAATTCACATTATAAATTATGCAATATATGTAATGATAATAATAATAATAATAATAATAATAATAATAATAATAATTGTAACGCATAAAACGCGATCAATTGTAGTTACGTACTCCATATTCATTACATGCATTGTTCATCAAGTATTTACAATTAATTAAGCTATTCTATTTAATAAATTTGATGGCTGAATGCCAAATTACATTGCTTTCATATTAAAACCGCATTTCATTAATTACTAACGTTCTTGTAGAATAATTGATTAATCGGCATATGTTATGCACGATCATTTTTCAATTCTTCCCCTTGATAAATTAATAATTTTATAATTCTTAGATAACTATTTGCACGATTTTCTTCAATATATTGGACGACGGTATCACTAATTGAGGTGGTTGGTAAAATTTCGTTGTTCAGAGAAGAATTTCAAGAATGAACACCGCGGAGAGCCGCCTATCTTCTCTATAATGAACGCCCTCGGGCGCTAGTGGAACTGGATCCCTCTCGAACTTTATCATCTCCTGCAGTGTAACAAGAGATATCCTGCAAAACCACCTTGACAACCACCTGAAGAACAACGAGATGAAATCTTTCTTCGAACTTTTCGAAAACGGCTTGCCTAAAAGACTCGACAACGTTTCATATTTTACAACGAATAATGAGGACGACCTAAAACACAAAAACGGCTGCTTCATAATCAGCATTCATTTATTTAACCCTAGAAAGATAACCATATGACAACGTACGTAAAAGATAACCATACGCTTCAGAGGCGCATGCTTTTCTAAGGCGTCAATTTTATACTAACAATGGATATTTATTTAAGTTAATCTAGTCATTTTAAAGGTTTGGCATTATCGTAAAAATAAAATGCATTTATATTATATTTTTTTATATTTTAAGTAATTTTAAACTTAAATCACTAGACCTCTATGAAAAATTAACAAAAATCAACAGTCTTCGCAGGCGCCTCTGCGACGTAGGTTATCTTTCTCGGGTTAAAATATATCAATATTTTCCTTGAGTATCAACTAGCAACATTGATCGATTAGCCTTTGTACTTACTTGGTTGCAAGAAAAATCGCGAATGCGAAGCAAAAATGTTCCAACGAATTTCCAACAAAAATTACGTTTGACCCAACGACCTTTTCACCTACTTTCGCGGATCACGAAATTTCTTCTTCTCTCAATGAACGTAAACATTGAGTGGGCCGGATAATCGAGGCTCTACCGTAACAGAAGAATAAAATTTTGTTTCGATTCCGAAGAAGTGAATAATGTAAAATCCTAATTTTTATTATTTTAATTCCAGATTTCGAATCTAAATTCGCTTTTAAGAAATGTTAAATAATCATGAGGGCTCTGACTCGTTGTTATAGTGCAAGGGGTTAACCCTTTGCGCCCCTATGTCTCTCTCTATGACTTTCACATCAATATTTTATGTTCATGATTCGCATTGTATTCATGAATAAATTACCTTGTAAATTACGCAATTACATTTTTTAGTATTTTAGTATTTTAGTATTTTAGTATTTCCAGTTCTCTCTCTCTCTCTCTCTCTCTCTCTCTCTCTCTCTCTCTCTCTTCTAGTTAGGTCGCAAAGCGATTGCGCTACAGCGAATTCTGAAATAAAAGGATGAAAATACTTCGAAGCGCAAAGGGTTAATCAATGGTAAGTAGCGGACAGCGTCGTCCGTAGTTAGAGCAGCGTAACCGTTATCTTCGCGTACCTCGCGAAAGGGAAAGGCAGTTTGATGAGGAACATACGATATGCCAGTGACGCGCACGTACACACAATGTGCTCGTTCGGCGCACCTGGAGGCATTGCCAGGGTGATCACGTTTGCAAGACCGACGGAACCATTAAGGTAGCAACGTAAAAAAAGAGGGCGGCCAACCACGGTTTAGAAATTTATCCTCCGGCGCACGAGGTGTACAAATACAGACGATAACTTTTACTCCCTTCATTTTTCAGGACGCGCAACGCAACACACAAGTGTCCCTCTAAAAGTTCCAATTATTTCGTTTGTTCTTTAGCTTCTTTTGTGTCACGGCGCGCGATCTCTACAGTGCACTACGCTTCAATTATACCATCAGGTAATTGGTTTTACCAATTCGGAGGAACACTTTGAAAAAATCTAATAAAAGCTCACAATTACTCTGCCCTCAGGTTTCACGACACTCGAATGTTTCCGTTCATCGTGACTTCACCGATACACTCTTATCGTGCAAAACGAGGTCTAGGGTCGTGTTTCATACGTAAGGGGAGATTCGTTGCCTAGAACTAAAAGAAAAAAAAAAATCGAATTTTTTCTCCTTCGGTTTTCAATTTTTATGATGCTTCGAGAATATACAGTTGGGAGGCAATTTCGAGAAAGCGACGTTGTGCCGCATAGGTTATTTTCATCGCGTAAAATTTCAAACTCGTTCTTCTGAAAATATAATTTCTCAAACTGGTGTAACCGGAACTTCCTCTTTAAAAAAATGTGGAGGATGTTGCTATGCGTTACGTGTTACGTCAGGCAGAACGCCTTTCGAAATCTTTCTAATTATTATTATTTCTATTTGTTATTATTAATAGTATTTCTATCGACGACGCAGTTAAGTCGAAAACGAAGTAACAAATACACGTTGAAATAATATTGAAATTACCTAATTTTTAATCGTACTCTCGATTTCTATTTCCTTCTTTTCCATTTGACAAACATAACGTAAAATTCGAATTTTTATCATTTTTATTCTAGATTTCAAATCTGAATTCGCTTCTGATCAATTTTAAATTTAAATTTCACTATTTCAATATTTTCACATTTCTGCGTGTACAGAGTACGTGATACATAACCTAAAAAATATTTCTGTCACACTTTTAATAAAATAATTAATACGAGGAAGAGTCGAAGTAAAAACAACATTAGCGGATTTCTATAACATCGCAGATTTCCGAACGCACACATTACAAAGCACATTAAAATTTCTATTTATCGGAAATTGCAAATGTTATTATTTTATCGGATTTAACGAAATGTTTATAATCAGATTCAAACATGTCAATACTCCGCTAATGACTTTATAATAAATCCCTAACGAACAAACAATTTTTCTATATTATTGTAAATTGCAATTTGTAAAATCTTTTTAAATTGCTGAACATTTTTGACATCTTGACTCCTCATTTTCACTAGCAGATTGATTTTGCTAACATAACGATACCCAATTTGTGTAAGTGAAAATCACAGAAATTTGCGAACAGTTTAGTTAGTTTTGCAGTTTCTTGCACGTGGTAATTCGATAAAATGAAAAACTAGATTGGAAGTAAAATCCAACTCGATCTTTACGCATATTGACATTATTATACATTATTATTATCCTTATATTATTATCCTTCCTCTGCTAAGAGACTCGTTGCAAAAATAACGTAACAATGCTAATGGACATGTTAATTTACAGACTATTACTATTAATTTATACGTTTTCGTGAATTTCAAAAATCAGCAAATGCCATAAATGCACGAAGATATCCGCACTATAATCGCAAGCAATCGAAATGAATAAATCACTTTCCACTGAAAATGAACGCTCAAATATTGTTCGTACACATCGCGGCAGATTTCTCAAACGTAAATTTAATGTTCTTCAAGTCGAAGTAAGAAAACAGCAAATATTTTGTACAGATAATGAGATCCAATTATTTAACGGGGAACGAGCACAGCCCTATAAACTGGGTAAATACTAATTTCATGCCGGAGAAGCTCCGCAAAATTCTCACCAGTCGATCTTCAAATCCGAGCTCGCAAACTTGGCGCAATTAACTTTTGTCACGGTTCGTATCTCGTCGTAAAGGGCTGTGCGCGTTTTATCGCGCACAGGCATCGCTATCGCTCCATCGTTTTAATTATTCTACCCCGAAGCTCTAAATTATGGACAAAAAAGTTACCTGGCCTCCCGTATGAAGTCGATCCATGTATTGCATTCGAATTCCGTCGCCGCTTTCAGCTCGTATTTCCTCTCGTTCTCGTGTCTGTAGGATATTGCGAAACAGTGCTGAAACGAATTACGACAGAACGGTTAATTCAATTTCATATTCCACGCGCTCGGCATTTAATTAATTTTTTAATCGAGTGAAAGAATTGTGTCGGCGCGCATGAGATACAGTGGTGTGGAACTCGATCGACGGCGATATCGGTGACCGAGATAATTGTATAATTTTACTGAAAATCGGGATTAAGGCTACTTGCTCGCTTATAGCACTCTAGCCGCGACAAAAAGATGGCCGAACCCATAAATTCAACGCTTTTATCACTTTGCCATAAAAATACGCTCGGGTTCGAGGCCATTAGATTTTTATTTTGTATAGGTTTTGCGCTCCGAATTCATCCGTTTGCAGGTCATATTGAAGTTTTCACCGGTCGAATAAAAAAATTCCCATATCTCCTCTCAACAGAAAAATACGTGTTACGGTAATCTTCAAATTTTCAGATCTAATGAAAAGATGTAATAATTGATGAAGTACCGTATCGTAGATAAGTTCTTTTGCAATTATTGTTTAAAAGAAAATTATCGCGCTTCTCTTAGACACCGTTCTAACGTTAAAAAGCCTATCAATAAGCACCCTGTAAATTAAATGTTAAGAGACATTAACACATTAAGTTCAATGGAAGCAAAATAATTTAATTAATGAAACTGATAGAAGACAGTTAAAACTTATCGCAATGAATAGAAATTAGTGTACACAAACTGTAGTACAAATTTCAGCCCGAAATCTTTATTATCGTTTCTAGTTATTTCAATTTTATCAAATTAATTAGCGACCAATGATTAATTTGCGTCCAGCAAATGTTTGCAACGTCTGCGTAATTGACGACATTGTCGAGAGTTTAATTACCAATTAAGATCGTTATTCAGAAGCAATTGTATTCCCAATAATCTGACGATTTCGTTAAACGGTTTCTGCTGTAACCGATGTTGTTCATTTCTACGTATTTGCCTTAAAGTAATCTGTAGTCTACCTGGTAAATTAGAAATTAAGAAAATGAAATCATTATTTATCGTTACCTACCGTTATTTGTGTAAAATATTTATACAAATACGCATTGTTATTTATGTAATAAATAAGATAGTTTCTACTGCCTATTGTTCTACGATACTACCTTTTTCATAGCAAACTGTTCATTTTGTGATCTCCAAATGCAATTTAAAAAATCAGGTTGATCCTAATTATTTCTCATCCGAAGATTTATTTTTGTAATATCCTGATACCAAAACATTCTATTATCTAAAAATTTCATTCGTGTGTATTCTGATAGGTGATAATATGTATATCTAAATAATACAATGAAAACCTAAAAATAATGTCCTTTTTTGATAGTGACAGAAAATTTCATTTCCTTTAACATTTACAGGCAGAGATCGCAATTGTTGGGTCATGTGTTTTGATAACACATTGTCTGACGAACCTAGAGCAAAAATAAGCCGACCCATATTTTGTGGTTTTTGTTAACACCAATTAATTGTAAAGATATATTCTATCTAATTTTTAAAACTTCCACAAATACTATCTAGTATATAGAAACGAAAATTTAAATTTTCCGTATATAATAATTTCCTAACATTTATGTCTGACACGTCATTCGATAGCTTTCGTTTCCTCCTGCTGTGTGATTGTTTATTCATTCGTTCCGTGCGAATAATAAAATAATTAATTTCTTGAAAACTATGGAATATCCACTTAACAAGAACGAACATCTGTGATCTTCGCATTTGTTAATACTTGTTAACTCGACGCTCCGTAGTTCTCAGAAAATTAATCGATATACTAGTAATATAAGATGAAATAGTAAGGCTTAAGCATAGGTAATTTTAGTTATGTTATGTTCCGCTTTTTATATGAAAACCGAGCACAGTGCGACATTTGACTACGTTTCCCGTCGCGAGACGCGTTGAGAAAGCGTCTGCGCAATTAACTTTTTCTCAGGCTAAGGTACTGGTATCTCCAGGATCAGTACTACTCAGCTTTCCATTGAATCTGATCTGGGTGTACGCAAAGAACATGGCAAGTCATGCCGCCGGAAATGGAGGGTCCAAAGTAATACGTCTCTCTCGCGAGCGCCTTACAAAAAGCTGGAGAAGATAATCGATGGATGAGACTCTCTGCAGATTTATTTTTCCTGCCTCTGGGAGAGTATTAACGATCCCCTGTCGACGTAAATCCTCTTTCGCCTTGCAAGATATTCGCTGGAGATTGAGATCATGTGGGAAAATGTTCGAGACTCTAACATCGATATCATTGGTTAAATCAGTTATTAATCTGACTACAAAAACACATCAATTGTGTGCACACGAATTGAGTAATCTTATTTATTTAGTCGTCAACGACTTAAACCAGATTAATTATTATTATATTACTCAACATTGTTCATGGAAGTTGTAAATGATTCTCAGTCCTGTTATATTGTTTATACAACTATCATTCATCTGCAATCCTAGAGAGTCACGTAAAAGAATTTTAGAATAAAGATCATTGTAGATCGTTAGTGTAACAATGCGTAATAAATATTTGCGTATCTCTGTTCAATAATTCAGTGTGTTATCGATCAAACTCAGCGTACCTCGTCGTACCTCCTCTGTCCAAATTGTCCATTTTTGTTTACAAGCTGAGAGACAATTGGAGAGAATTTACTGTACTTCGCTATTATCATCCACGTTTCCTACGCACTCACGAAACCCATTGTCGGTGCTTTCCATTGTCGAATTTTCGGGATGTCTGACGGCAATCAAACAGAGAAATTCGTTTTACTTTTCGGTTGAGATGAAACGTTCCAGGCGAAAACGACCGAGATTTCGTTAGACGGGAATTAAAAGCAGGCAGAGAGTGTTACACTCGTCGGGAGTGGTTTGATGATTACTCGGACACGTTCGCTCTGACACTATACAAGGAATTACACGAGGCCAAACTGTGTTACTCGAATGTCAAACGGTTCCACGACAGGGAGATTCTTCGGATAGAAAGGAAAATTGAGAAAGGAATAGAAAGAAGAAAATAATGTAATTTTAAAAATATGAGAGTATAAAGGTGATTTTCTACAAATTGATATGTATGAACTCCGTCGGTGACACACTCAATAAATAATTTCCTTTCTAGAAGATAATACGGCAACTTTGTTCTTAAAACTGATTCGCGAATTGATTAATTTAAAATTAATTTTCAAATTGATTCACAAATTCAATGTTTACTATTCTTCCAACGCTGCGCGAAGTTTATTTATAATACCTTGAACAACTAAATTATATTTTTGTTGTTGTTTCGAACATATTGACGGTCGACTATACCGTTAGATCAACATTTCATCAGCTTTTGTTGGACCAAAGGCCTAACCCAAGCCGCCCACGTTTGAACTACGCGACGGCCACAAAATGGTGGCCGCGGCGGCCGATACCATCGACAGAGCCCAATCACACGGCAACCACCAATTTCTGCTTAACTGCTGCATAGACACGTTCGACTTCGAAATACTTGATCCAAATAAAGTAACAAATAATTCGACATAAAATTTTCAACTAAATCAATTCACTGGAACAACGGAAATCTTTATAGTTTTACCAAATTTGCCTCGAGAAGAGCCACAAACGCTATGCCGAAAAGACATTTATAATTTTATATACAGGTAGATCTATGTATACATTGTAAAAAAAAGCATTTGATTGATTCAAATGTGGAATACAAAATTATTTCGAATAAATAATAATAACAATAAATAATAACAATAACTTTACAGTATTACATGCTTTGAAGCAAAATTTGATTACCATTCGTTTGATATTTGCGTTTATGTTAATGTAGTATGAAGTTAGATCAAGTATTTAATTGAATTTCGAAAATTACGTACAGAGTGAAACAATCTGAAAGCAACATAAATTGTAAACAGTTTATCACAGTTAAGCAACAGATTGTTTTCTACCTTTAGTGAACACGATTTCTATTATTGAAATACTGGTCTGTTTAACATTTGTCAGGTTCAAATCTACGAAGAACATTGCGCAACAGTCGGTGAGAGATCTTATGGCTGCTGGTCCAATTTCGAGCAGCCCTTGACACGCATTTCGCTTTACGCTCGTCAGTTTCGTTTGATCGTGCCTAGCCTCCCATTTCACATTCCAAATTACATGACACTCATTGGATACGAATTTCCGTTCTAAATGAATTTAATCAAACGAATTTCTGATTTCTTGCGAAATCATATTTTTATTCTCTTATACACTTTGGGTGTATATCTTATTATACGCGCACTGGTATCATAATCATATATTTCCAAATTCGAGTTTCAATTCTTGAAACACTGCAGTATAGTACTTTACCATTTCACGTAATTCCAATTCTTTCTAATATTTCTAGCGAAGAGAGACCATTACAGGAGTTCATATATTATAGCGTTTTATCAGACGATTAACGAATGTCAAAAGCAAATTAAAAAATGAATAGTACTTCTAGTACCGTTTTTGTAACAATAATTCCATTTTAACGAGTATATGATTTTCTTTGAAAAGTAATACATTCACATCAGAGCGTCAATCTGAACAAAAATGAATTCTAAAAATGAAACATTTCTTTATTATCGAAACTTGCAGAGCTGCTTAAAAGCTTCATTGTCCCACTTGTTCAACGAACAATCAACTCACAGAAATAATATAAGAAGTTGATAATAATTTTCTAAACAGATACGCACATACTAAACGTTAAGCTTGGAATTAATATTTGTACGATCTTTGCCGATTTGCGATTATAGTATGCTTTAACGTATGCTAACAAATTGAATTTTAAGAAACGCTTTCCTATGCACATAATTCGCCATGCAAATGCGTACACGGTACGTTTCCAGCGCTGTTTGCTTCAACGGCAAACAAATATTTTTCATTTCGTACACGGCGAGACGTATCCCCTCGCATAAAACATAGAGGTATTGGAACAGCCGAACGCAAAAACAATGCAAACAAATGTACACGATGAAATATTTCTGTAACTGTGCAACAGTCGAGTGTAAAGGTTA